ACAGGGTTGATATTGAAAAGGAAAGTGGTCATTTGATTTAAAGCAATTTAGTTCGCTAAAAGAGGAAAGCGCCACAAAGTGAACCCTTGCAAAGCAAATCGACAAATTTTGCACAATACTTTGGCAAAAAAACGAACTATAAAGTGAAGGCAAGTTTCAGACCAATATTATATTTTGTTTTTCTATTATTTTTAAAAAATTTGTTTGTTTAGAGTATTTTTCTAATATTTTTATTTTTTATTTTTTATTTTTTAAATAATTCAACTTATCGCTAAAAACACTTCACCAGCATTAAAAGTTATTTCGAGCATTTATAAAAATAATTTCATTCATTTTCAACAAGCCAAATATGTTTTATTTCAAATCAAAATATAAATAAAACAAAATAAAAACACAAATTAGAAAATAAAAGACAAAAAAGTAATTTACTTTATTCATAATTTGCTTTGCACCAAAGACAAAAAAGTTACTTAGCATGTAAGCACTTCACATCAAAATCAACAACCACTTCATCATAGGTCAAATGCATATCTGGGATAAATCACTGGACAAGTCGCAATAAGCAAATACTTGGAAAGGATCCAAATCAATTTCACTTGTCCATAAAATGGCCCATGTTTTTTAAATTCTAAGGGGAATTTACATACATAGCACATAATTCTAATTTATTTACAGATATCACGCCAAAACTTTCATATTTACACAAATAGCACTCAAGTATTTAATATCACATAAAAAATAACACTATTATCATTTTTTTAAAAATACACATTTTCAAGCATATGTAAATACGAAAGTTTAAGTGTGAGATATGCAAATACATAAGAATTGTGTGTTAGGTATGTAAATTTACCCAGATTCAACTGTTTCTGTACAAACGGCTAGTTTACTGGTGCTTTTATAAGGTGGGTTGCTTGAGCTTTCAACCTCAAAAAATGTGACTAAGCTTTGGCAAATATTTGGCCACAAAAGTTCTGCTAAAATGTTACATACAATAGTCAACTTTGAACTCATCACACAACCAAATGCAAAAGCAAGTTTTGTGCTGCATGCAAGAAAAATTCTCACCAATATTATTTGCAAATTAAAAACTTACTAAATGGATTTATTTCATGTTTTTTAGATGCAATCCTAAAAATTCTACCTGAGATCTACAAATACGGTGTCTACAGCCTAATGCCATCCAGCTAATCTCTATAAGCTTTTTATATACCACTTCTAAGCATTATTAAAAAAGATAGTTGGTACCATTACTTATTCTTATCCTTCATTAAGAGGTGCATTAGTGAAGATAGTAGAACTAATCAATGTACGAAATCAAATTTTTGTAATTATCTCGGTAGGTGTTTAATAAAGAGATTTTTTTTGTTGTATTATCAACAATGACCACTGAAAGGCTGGAGTTGACATTTGGAAGCCAGAGACCTTCTCAAGAGGAAATCGAAGTTTGTCACAAGGGTAACATAAGATATGGCATACTTTATCTCTGAGGAGCACAGTCAAGGGAGGCGTCTTGCTAAGGTTTGAAAGGGTAGAATACAAGAGAGATAAAAGTGAGGAAATTGTTTGAGAGTAAATATTAGTATCATATTTTTAACTTTCGCTAATGGACATTTATCTATCTTCCCGACTATGAAAGTAGGCAGAACTCATCAAACCATGGGACTTATATATATATAAATTATTACTCTACCGCCGTGAATTTTTTGGCACGTAACAAATATATTTTTTTGCTTGTGAATGCACAAGAGTGAAATCAACCAATTTCTTCAATTTAGGCAGCAAATGCTTTGTACGAGATTAAATTAAATATTTCAACGGAATTATTTTATTGATATAAAAAAGGATATAAATACACCTTACATGAATCCTAGAAATAGAAAATACAAGAAAAGAGAATAACAGGAAATGAAAGATATAACACTTATATCTCAAATTAATCAATTACTATTAATCATTTGGACTATTAATCATTTGGAGATAAATAATCATTTGGAGATAAAGGAAGCAACATAAAATAGAAAATGAAATAAATTAAATACAAGGAAATAAATCCAATCCGCATAACTTCTAACATACCCCTCAAGTTGAAACATAGATGTCAATCATGTTCAACTTGGATTTGAAATCAACCAACAATGAGAGAGGAAAAACTTTGTAAGGTAGAACTTGAAGTCTTCATCACCAAGAGTATTTAGAGATTCTTCTAATTGGCTTTGGCTGTATTTGACTGCAGTTTCGGCAATGTCTATAGGTAGCCAAAAAACTTCTACAGGTAATGTTACAGAGAAGTAGACAACCAACATAAAAAGCTGACTTCTAATTGACTGCGGTTATCTTTGACTGCAGTTTCTGCAGTATTTATAGGTAAACGTAAGACTTCTATAGGTAATATTGCAGGAAAGTTTGTAGGGAAGTAGACAATCTGTAGGAAAAACTGAGTTCTAAATAGGAAAACAATAGACTATGACCTGCAGGAAATAAAAAAGAAAAAGCTCCAAAGGGGGTGTGATGCAAGAAAAACCTCCAGAGGAGGGTTTGCTATAGTAAAAAGCTCCAAAGGAGGGCATGCTGTAGGAAAAGCTCCGAAAGAGGGCTTACTGTAGAAAAAAGCTCCGAAGGTGGGCCTGTAAGTCGGTTACTGGGATTCGAAGCTGAAGAAGACTCATAACTTTGCGAAGAGCGCATTGAAAACTGTCGCAGTGAATGTCAGAGATGAAACAGAAACCAGACAGAATGGCGGTAACTACGGAGCGGGGCGAAGTGGATTAGGATGTAGAAAAGAATCCAGAAAAGGAGCGCCAATGTGGCCTCAAGCAGCACGACCTGAGACTGGGCAGAGCACCGAATGTTCTGCAATAGAAGCTCCGTACCAAGGACGATGGAAGAGGAGTCGGCGCCTAAGCTAGTGATCCAATCGTCGTCACTGTTGTCGAAGAACAGAGAGCATCTCCCATTAAGCTGCCACACGTGCATGCGCAATAACTTCTGTTGTATCCCAAAGTGTTTCATGGCACAACATTCGACACCTAAATCTTATCGTGATCTCTGCAGAGGTTCTGACAACAATGGAAAGATCTGCAATCTACAGGGAGAGAACTTGTTGCCATTACTGCCGCTAGACAAGAGAGTTTCAACAAAGTAGTCTGCACAGAGAATCTGGTGGAAAGGAATTTGCCACCGAGTTTTCTGCAACTGAACTGAAGAGTTTCAGTAAAGAACTTGCCTGCAGAAAGAATCCTGCAGGGAGTTCTCTCTGCAACTTGAGCTTCTTACAAATCTGCTTCACGAAAGGAGCAAATCCCTGAAATGACACCTTCGAAGCTGGGGAAACAAATGAGTTGCTGCCTGGAACTTAGCCTGCCAGGAAACCAGTCCATCCATGATGAACAGGTGATGATATGTGTTTCCATCGTTTGTTTCTCAAATTAGTCATTGCCCTTGGGATTTTCAATGTAGACAGCGAAGGAGAAATAGTGTAAACAAAATTGAACATGTTGAATCCCACTTATGATGAAGTTGGCAATCACAAACATCAATCTTTCTCCCCAATTTGGGAGAGAGGAAATCAGATAAGGATACCTTGTCCAAAACACGAATATGCCAACAATCTCCTGGAAGCGAGAAGGCATCTTCTTCATGGAAAGAATAAGAACCATAGATTGGGCAAAGAGAATAAGCCTTACGAAGCACATTACTGGATAGAAAGTTACATGCCGTTAACAAATATAGAACCTTGAGATTGAAATCGAAGGTCAAATTTCTCTGGTAGGAGGAGGAAAGTTGGGTTTAATCTTAGAGAGGCCCGCAAGGGAGAAACCGGTGGTGGCAGAGTCTACAGGAAGAGTTACGAACGGGTGAAACCTGTAGATAACAAGACTGCCGGTTGAAATCAGGAGGATAGGAAGGGAACTGCTGGCTGAAAAAAAATTGCAAAGAAAGAAGAAATTTTTCGACATCTAGGGACTGCAGGGAGAGGGGTTCCAGCGACTAGTTTCTGCATGAAAGAGTTCTGGCTGCTAGTCTGCAGAGAGAGGAATTTTTCGGCAGGAAAACTTAAAAGAGGCGCACGAAGGGCCTGTAGCACGAAAAATATTGTCGGTTGCAGGAAATAAGAAGTTTCACAATGGTAGAAGACTCTATGGTTTGTTTGAAGACTCTGATACCATATTGATTTTCAAAATATAACAAAATTATTTTATTAATATGAAAATAGGGTATAAATACACCTAATATGAATCCTAGAAAAGAAAATACAAGAAAAAAGAAATAACAGGAAAGAAAAGTTATAGCACTATATTTCCAATTAATTAATTCCTAATAATTACTTGGCAAGGAAACAACAAAAGATAGAAAAGGAAATAAATTCAATCCTCATAACTTCTAACAATATATATATATATATATATATATATATATTAGGAGCTATATATTTATTTATTTATTTATATTTTTTTTTTCTTGGTGTTTTGTTTGTAGATTATTTATCTCAAAAGGGTAGAATCAAACAATGTAGCATATTGTGATATGGTGGAAAATATATATGTGGTATAAAACCAGAACTAAAAAACTTAGGCCATGAAGCCATTGTTAAATCCTATCAACTATCTAGCAAGAAAACTAGCGCCCAAAGATTGTCACCAAACATCATTAATGTACTCTAACATAACCCATGTTATTTATACACAACAACATGCATTATAGAGGTCCAACACCAAACATTCAAAGAACTGGTCCACAAACTGCATTCAATACACAAACATCTAAAAAAACAAAAACTAAAAATATTATAGAGCACCTAACATTTTTCTAGAATTTTAAGTTAAGACAACACAACATTTTTTTTTTAATATCTTGCAGGACTCACAATTGAAAAACGGTGACAACCCTAATTTAACATTGATATTACATTAGCTATATTATTGAAAGAAAGGTATAAATCAGCTTGCTAACATATTAAGGGCTCATTGTAAACAACAAATGTTAAACAGTCATGGGCATCCAAACAATGCAGATTAGAAGGTCAATTTGAAAAGAGAGAATGATTTAAAATTTGCAACTCAAAATATTAATCAGAAACATTGGTCATACTTGTTTCCTTTGATTTTAAACCACGTTTCGGCACATTGCTTGTGAGCAGCAGCCAAGTCATCCTTGCAGGAACAACCCAATACAATAGGTATGCCAGATTCCTGAGCATGACTTTCCAAATTAAGATGGCAAATTCTGCAATCCTTCTCAGTTTTCTCTGAATTCAACTTGATCTCCGGAGTCCCACACTCTAAATCCACTTCAGCTGAAGAATCAGAGATGCAGGAGTTTCTGCAAGCCTCTTGAACTCCAGAAATCTCATGATTGGATTCAATAGAAACTCTATATTCATGAACTGAATTTGACTCATAAGGTGAATGCCAACGTTCATCATCAGCATCTGAAAAGCAGGGACTTCCATCACTCTCATTAGTAGTGGAATGCCTGCAAGGCCCAGCTTCTACTTCTAGAGATGGTTTCGCTTCCTTAATCGCCATTTGCAGAAAACACAATATATAAGGGTTTAAAGCACGGCATCAAAAAGACCAAAGCTATGTTTGGCTTTTATGACAGCAGTGAAGCAGAAGATGGGAGATGAAATTAAATTTCAAATCAGTCAAGAATGAGGTTTTCTCTCGCTTTGAAGAAAGCTTGTAAGGGAACAAAAGAAGAGAGTAGGAAAAAGTTCAGAAAAACAATACCGAGATTGAGGGAAAGAAAACCCAGAATGCCCACTTGGGTGTTTGAAATCCTTCGATTTCCAATCATAAAACGCCTGAAACAGATCACATAACTCTACTAGAAAAAGCTGTTGAAAAGGGAGGTTCAAAACCTCATCTAAGCTAAAAGAAGAAGAGGAGACTCAGAGTCAAAACTCTCATCTTTGCATAATCCAAGCTACCAAAAATGCAATATTTTCCAAAACCACCAATCTGGACTCAGACTAAAAGCAAAATAAACCACATAGAATTCAAATTAAAGTGACTCAATGGGGAACAAAAAAATTCAACAAAATAAGACAAGAAAGAAAATCTTAAGGCTAAGCCAAGCCCTTGGAATGCATCAGAGCCAAGCCCTTGAAACGCATGAGCAAGCAAGAAAGATTGATCTCTGAGAGCCTCGGCAGGGAAGGATGATGGGGAAAACGAAGAAGGGCAGACAGTAAGAAAAGACGCGATTTTTCCGGATAGGTGACAACACCTGTCAAGTCTAAAAACAGATTCGCAAAAAAAAAAGTAGGGAGAGAAAAGAAAGAACAGCTCGTTCCTGTAGAAGGGAGGAAGCAGAAGATGAAAAGAAGATGAAAAGCACAGCCTGCTTGCCAGATTTCGCTCCACAGAAAATAGAGAAAATTACGGAAAAGAGAAAGAGAATGATTGTAATACTAGCGTCCGGGTAGAGAGAGAGAGAGAGAGAGAGGACTCGCTCTCAGGCGGCAGGAAGGTCCAGAAGCCTGAACTCTAACATACAAATGGAAGGGGAAACCACATTATACTTGGGACAGTGCCTGGCTTCAGTACAATAGGGTTGTCCATGTAAATTTAATTGATTTTATTTTCTTTTACTATATATTTAATATTATATCTAAAATATTAAATATAATATTTTAATCATGTAAATTTTAAATAAAAATTTTTAAGCACTAAATATTTATTAGCGATTGTAATGAAAAAAATAATTAAAATATTATATTTAAATTTTGGGTGATTAAAATATTTTTTATTATTAGTATGCAAAAACCCTTTTTAAATAATAATAGCTTAAATATAAAAAAATTTACATACGACATGATTCTTATTTATTTATATATCTAAAACCTAAAATTTAATATTTATATTTATAATATTTTGATTTAATAAATTTATGCATGAAAAAGCCTATTTCGCTTTTAAAAATTTAATAGTAATATTTTTAATGTGATATTAAAAATTTAAATATAATGCATGTAATATGAATTTATGGTATTAGATATCCAAATATATAAGAATTATGTGATATGTACGCCAATGCGCCTAAAAAACATAACTTGCTTTAAAAGGGAGTTAATAGCCTTCCATATTCATTCATTGATAGTAGGGCTGTCAAAACGGCTCATTGTTCGTGAATAACTCGCCTTCGGCTTGTTAAGAAGGCTAAAACGGGCCGAGCACAAACAACACGAAAAAAGATTTGTCGTTTGTTTTCGGCTCCTTTTGGCTCGAAATATCGTTAATTAATTAATTGGCTACATAGATTTATAATCAATTAAAAATATTAATTAAAAAAATAGAATAAAAATTATTAAATTAGATTCAAATGATGTTTTAATAAAAACAATAATTTTTAAATCTTGCCCCAATCCTTAACATCTTATGACTAGGTGATTAGGGTTGTCAAAACGACTCTTTATTCGTGAACGGCTTGTTTTTGATTCGGCTTGTGTTTGACTCGCTAAGCAAACGAGCCGAATACAAACACACTTTTTGAGCTCGAAATATAAATGAGCCGAACACGAGATAAGTCTGGGCTCGCTCGTGTTACACCCCTAATTGATAGGGAATTTACATGCATAGCACAATTTTTAAAAGTTTATATATCTAATACCTAAATTTTTATCTTTATTTATATAGCATTATCTTTAAACCACATCAACAACACCACTAATATTAACTTTTCTAAAATAGAATATACCTTTTCATCATATGAATGGAAGTTATTTAAACATTAAATGTTATTTAATTAAATATAAAAAATTAGGCAACTTAACAAAAAAAAAAATCTCAATCGAGATTTTTCACTCTTAGATAACATAGTCAAATCGACAACAAGCATGCATATAAAAAAATATAGATAAATAACTTATGATTTATTTATGTATGTATTAATGTATTTTGCGTGTAAATAAATAGTTCATATTTGAACATAATGATTATAAAGTTATATATAATTTTTTTATAAGCTCCATTTCTAAATATTAAGTACAAAAAAATTTATTATAATAATTAAAAATATTATATTTTATGATTTATTTATGACTACTATAATATAATACTATTATTATTTTTATTTTATGTATTATGCCTTATCATTTATAATTTATTGAGTGAATTTCATCAATTAAGTTTATTTATGACAATATCAGCTCTATTGTTGTATAATCATTGTGATTATTAGTCGCACATCATCTAAATGAAAATTTTTAGACTCATGATTTAGGTTCATTATTAAAAGATAATTGCGTTTAGAAGTTATTTAGTTGATTTAATGACGATTTTCTCTTTTATGAATGAGTTGTTTTAGTAATTAAATTTAATTACTATTTACAGACCAACCACTTTCTTTCGTCCATTTCTCGAATTTTTACTCAAATATTAAAATTCATGCTAAAAATCCAACTAATAGTTTTAATTGTATCAAATTCTCAATATTTTGATTGTGGCAAGCCTAAATACATTGGTTCGGTAGTTTAAGAAAAAGATGCCTAGATGGTTAATTTGTTAATATCAATGTTTCGGATGGTTTGTATGTAAGTATCCCTTCTTGATAATATTTGAAAATGGTTGGAGCACTGCTCGACTTGATTCAAACAAGGTTTGAATATAATTCAAGTATGGATTGAGTATAGTTCAAACATGTTTAAATAAGATTTGGATAATGTTGGAGCTTGGTTTGAATATGATTCAAGTAATGGTTTAAGCAGGGTTGAGACAATATTTGTATAATATTACAATAGGATTCGGCCTTAATTTAAACATGGTATAACAAGATTTTTATATGGTTATAATACGATTTAAATAAGTTTTAAATAAAGCTCAAACATAGTTCAAACATGATTTAAATATTGTTCAAGTAAAGTTCAAGCATTAGGCCTTAATTTAAACATGGTTTAACAAGATTTTTATATGGTTATAATAAGATTTGAATAAGTTTTAAATAAAGCTCAAACATAGTTCAAATATGATTTAAATATTGTTCAAGTAAAGTTCAAGCATTGTTCAACCATTATTCAAGTATGATTTAAACATATTGTAAATTATACCATTTTACCTTCACTATTAACATTGGAGTTCATTTATTTGAGTTCTTATAATACATTGGCGTAGATTAAACCTCTTTAAATGCTAGCTTGACCTAGTAAAATCTAATTAAGTCATTTAAAATTAGAAAACTTGAATATCGCCAACCTTAAAATGGGTCCTATTATGTTAGAAATAACCAAATGGACTTAAATAGACATTTGATGCAGCCCAATTAGACTAAATAACCTAAATGAGACTATTTGAACTTGTAGGATGAAATGAACCCCATTGATTAATTGAATTACTTTTAAATGCCTTCAAAAGCATTCAATATATTATTCATAGATAACATAACCTCAATTGTTTCTTGATTGAGCCATTTGGTCAACTTAACCATGGTTGATTCATTGTCCCTTTAAGAACAGTAGATCCAATATGATTGTATTCATCTGGTTTAGCAAACTAATATTTAAAAACTCTTATCAATTAATTATAGATGACTTAAGCTTAATTGAACATTTATCAAGCTTAATTTAACTAATTAGAACTTTTGATTAAAGTTGGTCAAATCAATTAATTTGATCAAATTGATTGAAAAAATCTCTCTAATCAACTTGATGAACTCCCCATGAATGGCTTAAGCTCAGTTGCCTCTTAAGTTGGTTAATTTACCTCATTTAACCTAATTTAAGCAATTGACCTTATAAGGAACACTTGACATTTTATTTATTTATTTTTGTTTGAATTGTTCAAGTTGATGAATCCAATTAACTTATGCCATATAATTAGATTATTCTTAGGCTTTAATTAACTATTGGTTACTCATAATTAGCTCAATTGTATAAAATTCCCTAAGGTAACTTTTTTTTATATTTGACTTGTTTCACCAGTTTGGACCCTTAAATGTAATTTTTCCAAATTTGTTTTAGCTTTTCAAAGTGAACCTTCCTTTGCTCACATTTATGTGTTTCATACACTACTTAATAGTTTGAACTCTTGACTTTAACTTGATTAAACCTTTAAATAATAAAAATCATCTATAACACATTTAGATACCCTAAAATCTAATTGAACTTAGGAACCCAAATTTACCTAGCTAATGGTCCTTGAGATTTCCAAAAAGTATTCAATAATTTGCTAAGACTTTAAATTACAATTCCTCCTATGGGTTGGCCAGTTGGTCAACCTAATCCAAAGTTATCCTAATTGAATCACCATGGATCAAAATGAACATAGTCCCCTTAGATTAAATAATTTGCCATCATAGTTCAACTCTAAACTCATATCAGGATGCATATAGGTAGAACACCCCCCTAAAGGGCCATTTTGGCCATTTGATTAAATCAAATGAATCTAACCAACCGAATTTGATTGATCAAACCCGGATGAACCAATTGGAATAAATTACTTTCAACATTAAATTGATTCAAATAATTAGAAGTGGACTTTGATCAAAATGATTATGCCTTGGAACAACCTTAGTATGACTTATTTTAACTATTTGTTTGATCAGTTCAAACCAAGTGGATCAATAAAACACATTAGAAACCAATATAGGTTCAAATGTGATTGTTGCAATTAAATAGACATATTGGGTTAGGTCAATCCATTAATCATAGAGCACCCTTAGGATAATAAATAAAAAATCCAACTTTGTTTGACCCTTTGCACTAATTGACCTAACTTATTTTGGTCAAATGGGTCAAAATTATGCATTTTAATCAATAATGATTTAATTAAATTTAACTTAGCTAAATACTATAATTAGTTCATCCAAATGACTTATGCAGTTGATTAAGACTCTAACCTAAGCCTACTACTGGCTCTAATTATAGCTAGCACAATTCACTCAAGGTTAGAAGGCTAAAACATTATTTTAGGTGTTATCAAATGTAACTAATAGAATTTAGCTACTTCCAAATAAGTTACAACCCTTAATCTATGCTAAGGGAATTCTAGCATCATCACAGCCCTTCCCCATTCATAATCAAATAAAATTAGCAATTGATGGCATGGCTTAGCCTTTATAAAATCATAGATTATTGATTAATGTTACTGTCTAAATAGATTTGTCCTAGTCTTAGCATTCTACACCATGGTCATCTACGAGTTCAAGAGAACCCCTCAGAGCAATCTCGACCTTTCCAGTTATGCTTAACATTTGCATCTATTATTGAATTCTAAATCAAGCTCTTACCTTGATCATCCCATTAAACTCTATCTTTCTGGTTATATTTGGGATAAGGTTCTCTACTCCTCATCTCACTAAAAGTAAGGACTCGCTTTTTATGGCTATGATTAGATGACTATAAAAAACCATAGAAAATTTATTAGGAGCTTGGACAATGCACAAGTTTGATCATAGTACGAGAGTAAAATCCCTTATTGAAAGCTCTAAACCTCCTTTAAGTTTCACTATTTTATTGAAATGCCTTAGAGAAGGGAAAGCCTTTAGAGGTTAAGTCGTACGGTGTTTTACCGTAAAAAGTGGGGGAAAC